AACAGAAAACTATGGCCTATTCAAAGTGAAAAAAATCAACAGAAGCTGTCCCTGCCAAAGACCTGATGACAGATCTACCAGATAAATACTTTAAAACTCTATCTTAAAGATGCTGAAAGAACTAAAGGAAGAGTGGACACCTGACCCATATGACCTTACCTATCATTGGAGATGGCTCACACTCCTTACCCTGCCCCACCCCCACCCCACACCCCACATAGAGGCCATTTTCCTCTGTGACTCTTGGCTCCCCGGCACTTGCCAGCTCCCTTGCCTGGCCATTGTTACCAGAGGGCAGGGGCCAGTGGCCCTCAACATCTAGATGAGCCCCATGAACGCACTCACCAGCCTAGGTATCAGTCACAACCAGACAATCAGGGCTGGCATTGCCATGCAAGAGGCCAAGATCTGGGCATCTCTACATCAATGTGCCTGGAACAGAGCCTGGCACAGACAGGGGCTCCAGACAGGTGGGTGGGCCAAAAGAATGAATGAATGATGGGCCCTTAGCCCTGGCATTTCAGGAACACTACCTTGCAGGGCGACCTTGGGACCACAGTACCTGGGAAACTCCACTAGACGGATTGGCTGGCTTGCCAGGTTTCTGCCCAGCCCCCTCCAAGCCACAGAGCTGGGTGTGGGAAGCCAGGGGCAGGATCAGCATCCTGCCTCCCGATGGGATGTGCTCCTCGTGGCCACACACCAAGCACTGGATGATTTTCTCCACCTCACTCTGGAACACCTGTGTGAGAGGATGGGGCAAGTTGGGCGGGACCACGGGTCTGGACAGGCCCTGCCAGTCAGGAGTGCTGTCCTGGAAACACCCTCTGGCACCTGGCCCCGTTTTCAGGGTAGCAGGCCACACAAAACCTTCCCTATCCTCAGGCCCCCTTGACACTGCCCATCTGTGCTGTCACAAGCTTTGGTCCTTCTGTCTTATGAACACACTGCTTGGTCCAATCACAAGGAGCCTTGAGTTAAATGGGAACATACCACAGGAGTCCCAAGGAAGGGGTCAAAGCCTGGGCACTGCCCGTGTGCCAAGGCACAGGACTTCTGTCCCATCAGGGAGCCTAGAAGTCACATTGTCCCCAGCCCAGAGCAGGGGCTTGGGAAATGCAGCCTGGAGGCAAGGACTGGGCAAGGAGTGGGCAGGGAGAGCCCTGCCTGGGTTTGCCCCCATGGGGATGGACTAAGGTGGCTGCCTCAGGACGGGCTTCAGGGGCACGGCCCTGGGCTTGGCCATGGTTAGCGAGGAGGGCTGCTGATCCAGCTATGGTTGGTGCACGGGTTTCTGATCAGGGAGGCGATGCTACCTCCAGGGAATACATCCTGTTTGTCCCTATGGGGCCTGCTCTCTGCAGCTGCTACCTGTGTGCCTGGTCCTCAGTGTGGTGGCCTGGCGCAAGTTTTGTCCTCCCTGTGGCCACTAGAAAAAAATGGTGATGGTGGCACCTGCCTGCAGTGCTAGGATCCAGTGAGCCCAGGGCCCAGGGCCTGAGCAGCACCAGCCCCACTGAGTAAGCCTTGCGATGGGAGAGGCCCTGCTCCTGCTGATTTAATACCAGCATGCTCATGGCCTCAGCAGGGAGGGCGAGGGGCCTGAGTGAATGCTCCTGAGAGCGTCTCAGGTCTCTCCTGCCTGTCGCTCTGAACTCCAAGGCAGACACCTGTGGCCCTGGCGCCCTCTTGGCTGTGATGTGGCCAGCGGCCCTCCGAATCTCTCCCTACCCTGCCCACTGCATCCCCTGGCAGGTGTCCAGCTGCCGCCCTCCCTCCCCACTGCCTACCTCCTGCAATTCATCCCGGCCCAGGTGCTGGAGCAGAAGCAGAAACACCTCAGCCACGTCCTGCTGGACGGAGCCTGCAGAGCGGAGACAGAGCCAGGTCAGCGCAGCTGCTTCCCACCACCCCAGAGCCTTCTGTGGCCCAGCCCCTCCCCTCACAGCTACCTCCTCTGCTGGCTGTACCCTGGAACCCACCCCGGACCCCATGTCCTCTCCTTTTTTGGTCCTGGTTCTATCACACGCATCTTTGCAAGCATCTGCCAGGCTGCCTGGCCGGGGGCCTATTAAGAGCAAGTGCCTCTGCTGGGATTCACCAAGCTGTCTCCTGGTCCTCCCCTCCTTCTCTGGCCCTCCCCTCCTGCTCTGACCCTCCCCTCCTGCTCTGACCCTCCCCTCCTGCTCTGACCCTCCCCTCCTGCTCTGGCCCTCCCCTCCTGCTCTGACCCTCCCCTCCTGCTCTGGCCCTTCCCTCCTGCTCTGGCCCTTCCCTCCTGCTCTGGCCCTTCCCTCCTGACCAGGGGACCCCAGGACAAGCTCCAGTATTTGTTCACTCCTTTGTCCATTCACTGATTCACTCATTCCTTCAGCAAATAGGCCCTGAGCCAACTTCAGGAGTGGCACTGGGCACTCAGAGAGCAACAGGGACAGCCTGGCTGGGCAGTGGAGCACCCTCAGGCCCAGCCTCTAAGTCAGCCCTGGAATGACAGGCTGACTGCCCAGCTGTCCATGGGGCCTGGGGTGGGGCCCAGCTATAGCCTGGCCACTGGCCCTTCCCTCTGACCCACCCTCTAGAGTGTGGACATTTCTCCTTGGCAGAGTCTCTAAACCCAGCCTGGCACAAGGTGGACGTCCCTCCTGCTGACGGAGCGAGTGTCCCTTAGCCCTACCCCCAGTCTCCTGACAACACCCCCCACACTTGGCAATTGCTGCCACCATCAGCTCATGGACCGCAGTGTCCCAGCCCCGGGTGACTGAGAGGGCTCCTATTCTCTGGACACTCCCAGCAGCGTCTTCCTTGGGCCAGCACATACTTGGATCACATTGGTGACTCCCTGAGGTCCCGCTTCCTCCCCTCCCAACGGTGCGAAGCCCCAGGATGCTTCTTGGGCAGGTGAGTCACAGACTCTATGCTGAGGTGTCCAGGAAAGGGGCCCGCCCCACCCATGGGTCAGCCTCTCTGCTCCTGACTGTCCCCTGGAACCCGCCCCATGCAGGCCTCTGGCCATCTTGCAACCGCCTTCTCCCAACTTTCGCTGAACGCTGCTCCCCAGTGGCACCAGGTCAGGGGTGGTGCAGACCCCTCAGGGGGACACACAGCCCTTCATGGGATCTCAGGGTCTGGGCTCCACCTCTGCCTGGTGCCCTGTCCCTGTGCCTCCCAACGTCCACTCACTGTGCAGACCCAGGCAGGTGGTGAGGGCACTCGTTGGCACAGGTCCACACCGCCTCTGCAGCCGCCTGAAGATCTCGCCAAGAGCCTGCTCGGGCTCGGAGGTCCAAGGCTTCTCCTGGATCCTGTGGCCACAGGGGAAGCCTGGGTCCTTACCTCGTCCGCAGGGGCCTGCCGGGACCTGGCCCAGAGGCCCTCAGGCCACCCAGCCTCTCACCTGTCTCGGAATTCAGGCGTCAGAAAGAGACACTGCAGGAGGGCGTTGAGGTAGCAGGTGAGGCCTTGATTGATGAGACCCGCAAAGGGGGCTCCACCTAGGATGACCGTGGCCAAAGCCTTCTGAACTCACAGGCTCTCCCCCAAGAACTGGAGGCGCCCCCAGTCTCAGAGAGGGGGCCTCTGACTTCCTTCCTTTTCACACTGGGCTGGACACAAGCCTGGGAGCTCCCCACTCACCAGGCAGAGGGGTCCAAGGGGGCCTAGGGCCTTTGCCCTCTGTCCTTTCCTTGTCCACTGCCCACAGTGGCAGCAGCCTCCTTCAACACACTTCAGGGCCAGCACCATCCCAGAGGGCTCTCCCTGGGGCCCCTGCCCAGAGACCCAGGAGTCCTACCTGGAGCCTCCTGGCTGCACTCGGTCTCCGCATCTGTCCAGCCTGTGGTGACAAAATGCTTCAGTGCCCACAGGGGCCCCGAACAGTACAGTGCAACTGCTTTCGCCTTTTGCAGAACCTGCCGCAGCGGCTCCATTCCAGATATGCTTGCCCAGAGGGTGCTGCTGCCGCAGGCCATTGAGGGAAGTCCTGTCTGGGTGGCAGGTGCTGGGAAAGAAGCTCTGGGTTCCCTGGAGCTCAGCATCCACCCCGGGCCCATGCTGGAGGTGTGGACTTACCACGACCGTCTCTGTGGGTCACGGCATCACGGCCCCGGCGGCCACGGCGAGGCTTCCTGCCCGAGGCAGCACCTGCAGCGTGCCGGTCAGCAAATACGTTTGCCTCACGGTTTCCACACCAGCATGTCCCTGCGGCGGCCGGGGAGACAGGACTCAGGGCTCTGTGCTGACTCCAGGCTGGTGTGTCCCACGGATGGGTGTGACTGCTCTGAGCCCAGCACATGTGAAAGGCACCCCAGGAAACTGAGGAGGAACTGGGGCCAGGGGCAGCAGTGACGCTCACACCACCAGGCCACCACACGAGAGCCCCAGGCAGCTGCAGCGTCCCGGAGGCGCTGGAGCACGGGCAGCCCGGCCCTCCCCAAGGGAAAGTTAATGTTCCTTTGGTTTAAGGAGAAAGTGTCAGTGGAGACCTTGCTCTCCACACAAGACCCCTCCAGGCACAGGCGGTGCCCCCTCCCCCGCCACACGCACAGTGCAGCCTCCTGTCTGCAGCCTCCCGGCCGGGCTGCACACCCCGGCCTCCCGGAGCCACTCTCTGTGCCGGCCGGGACACAGGTGCCAGAGCAGCAGAGAGGCCGGGCCGCGGGAAAGGGAGGCAGCACGCTGCAGGCCAGCGCAGCTCCCACGCTGCGAACCAAAGACACCGTAAGGGGAAAAGGGCAGGGATTCTACCCGGCGAACGAAAGCGATTCATGGCACGGAGTCCAGAGGCCCTCACCCATCTGTAGGCATGTTCCCTGTGCGGCAGGACAAAGTCTCGCCCTGGCTGCCTTCTCTGGGCCACTGGGGTGGGGGCCAAGGAAGGATGGGCGTGGGGCTCCATGTTTGTGCTGGGGCAAGTTTCAGTTTCCTTCTCCTCTGCAGAATGTTTCTGAGAACTCCCCGCCCTCTCCTTCCTGTGTGGGTGCTGGAGGGGGAAGGGGGACTGGGAAATCCTGGGGGGTGAGGAAGGGGCCCCAAAGGGGAAGCCCGGTGCCCTTTCCCCTGTCCCCCTCTGGGCACTGCCCCTGCCCTGCATGGCCCTGAGGGGTGGGCTCCAGCCACTGCACCCTCCTGCCCCCATGGCTGGCCTTGGGGCTGCAGGTGGGGAGACAGTCCCCCATGCATTGCAGAGCACATGGAGGCAAGCAAACAACGCCACTCCCCCAAACCGAAAATTCCTCATCTGGAGACAGACAGGCAGGAGGAGCCTGGGAACGCCTGGCCCTGACCTTGGCTTCTGCCTGAGGGTGGGACTCCCCACTGCGCTGGCCTGGAGGCGGCACTGCCTGGGGGACCCTCCCCTCCCTGGTGCCTGCAGCTCACCAAGCGTCCGCTTCAGTTATCAGGGTCGATGTCCACCCCAACTTTGCCCCATTTCCCTAGCTGGAAGGCCACTGGGAGCATTGCCCTGCATCAGAGATGGGGTGCACCCCCTGGGGGCCCCCTTCCTGGCAGCCCTTGGGGTGGGGTGGCCCAGGCAGCTCCCCCAGTGGGCGGGACAGGGGTGGGTAGGGGTGGGGCTGGAGCCTGAGCTGCTGGCTGCTCCTGCCAGCTGTGGAGAGTGCAAGGCCAGACCGTAGCCCCAGGGCCCCCAAGCCAGCTCCCCATGAGCCACAGCGCCCCTGAGCCCCCGCTCAAGTTCGTGCAGGGCAAAGATGAGATAACTGGTGAGTCCGGGCAGACACGGTGGTGGGGTGGGGTGGGGCGGGGGACTACTGGATTTAATTAGAGGCTTGCGTTTGGACTGGAAAGGTGATGTAAAAGGAGTTCCTCCCCGTCACCCCCCAAGTTCCTAAACTTGAAAACAAGCTGCTGGGGTCTGAGAGAACCTGGCTTACAGCCAGCTTCCTGGCGGCTTCCACACTGGGCAGACACAGGACTGAGGAAGGAGCCTGGGATCCCCAGAACCTGGGTTTCCCAGAACCCCAGACACCCGGGACCACGGCGACAGGAGTTGGGGGACCAGGAAAGGGTGGTGAGAGGTGAGGTCAGTGGCGGGTGGTGGCTGCAGGGGGTGGAGGGAGGGGAGGGCTGCAGGGGGTGGAGGGAGGGGAGGGCTGCAGGGGATGGAGGGAGGGGAGGGCTGCAGGGGGTGGAGGGGAGGGCTGCGGGGGGGGAGGGAGGGGAGGGCTGCAGGGGGTGGAGGGAGGGGAGGGCTGCAGGGGGTGGAGGGAGGGGAGGGCTGCAGGGGGTGGAGGGAGGGGAGGGCTGCAGGGGGTGGAGGGAGGGGAGGGCTGCAGGGGGTGGAGGGAGGGGAGGGCTGCAGGGGGTGGAGGGAGGGGAGGGCTGCAGGGGGTGGAGGGAGGGGAGGGCTGCAGGGGGTGGAGGGGAGGGCTGCAGGCGGTGGAGGGAGGGGAGGGCTGCAGGGGATGGAGGGAGGGGAGGGCTGCAGGGAGTGGAGGGGAGGGCTGCGGGGGGGAGGGAGGGGAGGGCTGCAGGGAGTGGAGGGGAGGGCTGCAGGGGGGGAGGGAGGGGAGGGCTGCAGGGGGTGGAGGGAGGGGAGGGCTGCAGGGGGTGGAGGGGAGGGCTGCAGGGGGGGAGGGGAGGGCTGCAGGGGGGGGAGGGAGGGGAGGGCTGAGAGCTCCTGCTGGGAGGGTGTGGATGTTGATCCTAGGAACTGGGTCATTCTTGTCATACTCGGCCAGAGAGCTGAGAAGCCAGGGGGGAGACAGCACTCAGAACACAAAACATCACTCCAAACAGCCTTCTCGGCGAGCCTGGCAGCTGAGAACGCCACCGGCTGTAACCTGAAGTCTGTTTTATCTCCTGACCCGGGAGTCAGACGAGTTTTCCACACCACGGGCAGCACTCCGTGGTCAGCGCTTGCCAGCTCCTCAGAACCTTACCAGTGCCAGTGAAATGAGCGATGCAGAAGGCACTCCTTCTCATCACCTCTCCTTTCCATAGCGCCTCTGACCTCCCCTGCTCTTTCAGCACAGGAGGCTGAGCCTCCAGGGTTCACAAACTGTTCACTGGAATAAAGTCCCTTTCCTCCAGATTCCTTTTCAGAGAACTTTGGTTCACAAGGGTCTTCCCTGGGCAAGGCCAGAGCAGGTGGGGACCTTGGGGGGACCTTGGGGAGGTGGGGAGGAGCCCCCAGGGTATGATACCCCTCCCCGCAGGGTCTGGGAAAAGTGGGGGGGAATAAATCCAACGTGACTCCAGAGCTCCAGGCTGGAGCAAAGGGGCCGAGGAAGGGCCCCACTTCCAAGATGGGAGGACCCAAAGCCAGAAGCCTGGGCTGTCTTAGCCACACGTGGCTTGGTGCTGGACGCAGGGCCAGGAAGAGCAGCAGGCCCCCTAGGACCACCAGGGATCCCCACAAGCCAGGCCCTCCAGGGTCCCAGCTGCCGGGCATGGGCTCAGCTTCCCCACCCTGTCTCTGTAGTCAAACAGGCTCGGGGAGAAAGCAAGCCTTCCCAGGCCCAGCAGAGCCAGGGATGAACTCACAGCCTCCAGGTGCCCCTCTGCGCTGGGCTCATCTCAAGTGGAAGTCCCCAGAGGCTCTGCATAGGAGCCTGAGGAGGGGTCACCCTCCATTGTGCACACATGCTGGACTTCTCGTGCTCCCCGGAGCCTGGTCCTGCACACAGGACTCTGTCCTTGGCTGCTTCTAGACCACTTTCTCAGGGACCCCCATTAAATCTGGGGCACTAATGACAACAGGGGCAGGTGCTGCTCAAACCCAAAGGTCAGACTCAGTGTGTGGGAAGCTGAGCCCTCTCCCTGCCTCCTCCACTGGCTCCTGTGCTGAAGATCTCTGTGATGGAGGTGGCACCATCCTTCCCTCTCCATCCCACGCTGTGGAGCGGCTCTCCCTGGGCTCACGGCCCCACTGTGTCCTTGACAGCCAACACCTGAGACTGCCCCCTGAAGGGCTGCTGAGGTCCCCATCCCTGCCCTGTCCTGCTGCCACACCCAGTCCTGGCCTTGCTGCCCTCCCCGCAATCCAGTGACCAGCCAGGGAGGCCAGGAGAAGGGGTGGCCATGGCAGATGAGGCCTGAGGGGTGGGGCAGGGTGGGTGGGGGCTGAAAAGGCACAGGCACCTGCTCTAGTGCCAGGAGCAGCCCAGAGAGGAACCCCACAGAGATGCCCTACCCTGCAAAGGGCCCTGGCTTCTCTGTGTGCACCGGGGACAAGGCTGTGTGCTCAGGCCAAGAGGAGAGTGGTGGAGGGAGAGGAGGACCCTGGATGAGGAGGCTGAGGGACTGTGCTGTCCCCCGACAGCCCTGGCAGAGAACAGTGTGGACTGGGGGTGCCAGAGTCCTGCTGCACTGTGCCCTTGACAAGGACCCTTGGCCCATACAGGGGACGAGTATGACGGTGTGGACAGGGTGGAGATGAGCTGTGGGCATGCAGTGGACCCAGAGAACCTGAAGCTCTGGTGCCTCCAGCTGATAAAACAGGTAGGGGGTCGGCCACAGCCATGCCGTGTGGAGTCCTCCCTGCCATATGAGGGGGCCGGAGAGCCCCTAGATTTGACCTATCTGGAGGGAGGCAGGCTCCCAGCTCCTTTGGGAGAATCCAGTTAACGGCTTCCTTGGGCTGAGAAGCAGCACCCCGGGTCCTCATCAGGAGGCTGCAGCCCCACGTGTGGGATGCGGTGTGCACGTTAGGCTCCATGACAGGCCTGGTTTGGGGCGCAGAGCACACTCAGGACCCCTCAGGGGGGCAGGTGGATGTGGGGGCCTGAGGGGCGGTGTCCCAGGGCAGTCTGCACAGGGCCTGGCGGGCTGGCGGTGGGGACTGCAGCCACACTGGGGCCTTTGGTGTGAGGCGCACTCTGGGCCCTCCCCACTCTGTCTTTTCAGGGCAAGTACACACTCCACTGCCCCGCGGAAGTCAAGGGGAAGAAGTGTGGGGCCCAGTGGCTCTACCCGGAGGTACGCCGCTGCACCCAGCTGAGCGACTCTGAGCAGCAGGAGTTCGAGCAAGGACTTGCCCAGGCTGCAATGAGACGCTACTGCAACCTGAAAGTGGTGAGAGTCCTCAGGTCCTGTGGCCCTGCCCTACAGTGCGGGAGGTCTGAGCCCTGCCATGCTGGTCCCCAGAAAGGCACCTCAGTACCCCGCAGTCCTTCACTGCCCTGCTGTCCTTGCCTCCAACAGCCGGGCCCTCACTGTGTCCCCACAGGGAGGTGGTGGGGGAGGCAGGGCTCCTTCCACCTGCTCTGAGAGGCCCCTCCCCACAGTGCCCAGGCTGCAGGAGCCTCGTGGAGCGGAAGGATCCAGCCGAGCTTCGGGTGCATTGCACAGTCTGTTGCACCATACGGGGTGTGCCCTACGACTTCTGCTGGCAGTGCATGCAGGCCTGGAAAGGGCCTATGTTATCTTCGAACCGCTGTGGCAATGAGGACTGCAGGGACCCGATCCTGCACATCCTCGCCACCTGTGCCACCAAGGACCTCCCAGACAGCTCGATCCAAGGTTGCCCTTCCATCCGGGCCTGCCCTGAGTGCGGGCTGCTCATCGAGCACAAGGAGCGCTGCAAGTACGTGACGTGCTCCCGGTGCGACACGAAGTTCTGCTTCGCCTGCCTGGAGACGGCTCAAGCCTGCGAGGCTGCCAAGCCAGCCAGCTGGTTTAAGCGGTGCGCCAAGCCCCTGGCCCCACGGCAAAGCCACGTTCCTGTGTGGAGCCCGTACCAACAGAGATTGCTGTTGCAAGGCCAGCCTCTTGAGTTGGAAGCCTTTCGACCGAGAGCTGTTTTTGCCCAGCAGCCGGCGGCGAACGAGGGGAGATGTTTGATTTTATGAATAGCATAAAGCAGGCTCTACTCGGTGCTCCCACCTCCGCCTTTCCTGCCTCAGCCTGAAACGTCCTTCCCCTGCCTTGTGTCACCAGCCCTTTCAGAAACAGAGCTGCTGTGAGGAGTTCCTTGATCTGTGATTGACACCCAACCACATGACCATGGAGACACCATTCTTGAGTCAGGGGTCCGGGGCCCGCAGAGAAGGTGGTACATTCAAGGGTATCTGAGGGAACAAGGGAGGAGCCAAGTCATTGGCTGAGAGAGATGGGAAATGAAAGAACACCAGATTCACAGCCGCAAATCACTGACTGGATAGATGGATGCATGGACGGATGAGTGAATGGGTGTGTGGATGGGTACTATGGTGGAGAGATGGGTGGTTGGGTGGAAAGATGAATGAATTGACAGATGAATGGATGCACGGATGGACAGGTAGATAGATATATTGATAGATGAGTGAATAGGTGGGTGGGTGGGTGGGTGGATGGATGGATGGATGGATGGATGGGGGATAGATGTATAGATGGGAAAAAGGATACATAGACATATGCAGATATAAAAGATAGCAAGCTAAACAGGAAAAAAGATGGAAAGGAAGAAAGGACTGCCTCCACAGACCCAGGTCTAGGTAAACACACCTACTGAAGCACAGAGCCACCTGTTCTGCTGAGACAGGCATGAACCCACCGGGGACAGTCACCCACATGAGGCTGGGGGTCCCTGCTCACTGATATTCTGGGCTCTTTGCTCCCTGGGGCTTCTTCAGTGAGATCCAGGCTGCCCTGGGGGTGCAGTGCTGGGCCTGGGAAGAAAAGGAATATCAACTTGGATGCAGACCGGGAGCAGAGCCCTAAGAGGAGAACTTTGGGACCAGGCCCCACTGTGCTCATGAGGGCAGGGTGGAATCTAGGTCCCTGCGCAGGCACCAGGGGCCTGGGCTTTGCCACCTCCAGCCTCCCTCAAGCTGTGTCCTGTACCCCTGCTTTGGAAGCTCCTCCTGGGTGCCTCCCAGCCCCAGCTGACCTCCGATCAAAAGTAATGACCTGTGCTTATGGGACTCTGGGCCAGGTCAAAGGTCACCGTGGAACATGGGTCACCTTGGGCCCTTCTGGCCCCAGCACAGGGCTTCACAGTTCTGATGCCCCCTGAGGGGGTGGGAGAGGCCTGTGGGGCCAAGCTGGACCCAGAGGAAACCGGAACCTGTCCATCGGCCTCAGCTTTAAAGAAAGGCCTCTGGTTCTCCTGGAGGGACCGAGCAAAGACAACATAGTGGGGTCTGCCGCTCTACCAATCCTAGGGGTACCCTGGCTTCTCCCGTTGCCTGTGTGTGGGTGTGAATCAGGCACAGGGCATCCAGTCCCACCGCCCCTGAGTTCACGTCCCTCAGGACCATGGCCTGGTCGTCACCCAAAGCCACGTCATTCACTGGGACCTTGTGGCAGAACTGGGACCTGGAGACATGGCGCCTCCAGCCATTTCCTTCCCAAAGAACAGGGCCAGTCCGGAAACTTCCACCCAAAAGAGACAAGGGTCCCTCTGCTGCGGGTCCTGCTGCCCCGTCCAGAGGGAGTGAGTGAGGTGGTGGTGGTCCTGCCGCAGGCCGCACCCCGTCCTCTGGTGGGCCGCAGCCCCTGGGCCCAGCTGCTCTGCTATGGGGGAAGGAGGAGAGGAGAAAGCAGGGAGATGTCCCCGATTCGGTGGGCTAGGGGACACCCCAACCCCCAGTGAGACCTCCACCCGGCCAGCGTCCAGGCTCTCCACACCACCGCGAGAAGGAATCGGGGCGAGTCGGCAAACAGTGAAAGGCAGAGAGTTCCTGCGAAGGCCGAAGCTCCCACTGGAGAAAGGGAGTGTGGCGCCCTCTAGAGTCCGTCCCACGCAGGGGCGCTGGGGCCGGAGGAGAATCCACAGGATTCCTGGAAAAGGTGGAGATGTCTCCGAGCTGCAGGGCCGCCCATTTTTGCACAGATCTGGGTGTTCTGGAGCCGTCGTGCGCGGTGGGGGTGTGATGCGTATGCTAATGAGCGCATCGTGAGGCCGCAGGAGACACCGGGGCACACCCAGAGCCCTGTGGGGTCCAGGCGGTCTCAGCCAGCGCGGCCACACCCTGGTGTGTGGGGTCCTGTCAGCCCCGGGCTCCTGCAGGGTTTCCTCTTCCTAGAGATGAGAAGGGGCTGCCTGGAATGTCCACTCCCCTCCAACCACCCTGCATTATTCCCGTCTCATGGTGCGTGGGCTTCTCCCTGGGGATGCCGGTGAGGCCACATTTTCCTGGACCAGCATCTGGTGGAGGGAGAGAAAGAAGAATCTCCCCCACCCCGAGGCTGCCCCTTCACACACACACCCTCCTCCCCGCCATAAAGCCCCTCCCACCCAGGCAAAGAGCTGACTCTTTCTGGAGCCCCGGGCTCCTCTTCCCTGCTGTGGAGTGGGGACAGGAGCCCCGTGGCACACACCTGAGAGCCAGTCCTGTGTGTCTTCCAGAGGCCCCGATGGGGCTGCCAGATGCTGCCAGGCAAAGGACTGCTGAGCACACAGGGGAGCTGAGGGGGTGGGGCCAACCAGCTCCCCTCACAGGCGTTCTGCTTGAGGGCCTGGCCGTGCCTGGGTGTCACATGTCAGCCGCAGAAGCAGCAGCAGGGGGTGGGGCCCCAGGAAGGAGAGGGGCTTCTCCTCGGGTGGCAGCACCCAGCCCCTGGGTGCCGGAGGTGTGTCTGTGTCCCCAGGAGTGCCTGCAGCCTCTGCACAGATCCCTCCAGGAGGGAGGTCCCGGTGCTCAGGCAGGAGCTGTCAGTACCTGGGCCTGGGAGGAGCAGACACAGCCACCTCTCCGTGAAGTAACCAGGAGGCTGTTAGAGTTACTCCAGCTTAGAATTTCTGAAAATCTCGAAATTCTCAACAAAATCCACAAGGCTTGAAGCAAGGGCCACCGCATTTGACAGAAATGAGCACAATTTTCATATAAGATGTTGGAGTATCCAGATAATAATGCAGAAGTTTTGAAATACATTTTCTTACAGTTGAAGATACACTGTTAGAATTCACAAACAGACGTTGTAAGTTGTGTATAATCGTGAATTCACCTTCAGTCTCTCCTATGAGCTCCACAAGTACAGGAAACGTCAGGGGAAACATAATCAGGATAGATTTGCCTCTAAAACCACACTCAAACTTATGATCCAAAAAGTGATCTGTCTGAAGCGTGAACATTTGTGGGAATAGCCGCTCATCTGCTCTAGATGTGCTAAAATCTGCGACTCCAGGTGGCTCAGCAGAGCAGCTTCCCAGCTCGTCACAGCCTATGAGACACTCCCAACATCTCCGGAACGTTCCCTCAGCAGAAAGAGCCTTCTCCACATTAAAAGCTGCCAAAATGCCGGGCGCGGTGGCTCAGGCCTCTAATCCCCGCACTTTAGGAGGAGGAGGCGGGCGAACCACGAGGTCAAGAGATCGGGACCATCCTGGCCAACATGGTGAAACCCTGTCTCTACTAAAAAAAAAAAAAAATACAAAAATTAGCTGGGCGTGGTGGCGCGTGCCTGTAGTCCCAGCTACTCGGGAGGCTGAGACAGGCAGAGGTTGCAGTGAGCCGAGATCATGCCACTGCACTCTAGCCTGAGCAACAAGAACAAAACTCCCGGAAAAAAAAAAAAAAAAAACCTGCCAAAATGACTTGGAATCGTGCATCTGCCATGGACGACCTACATGGCTTTCAAGTAGACTGAAAGAAAAGCAAGTCGCTAAAAACAGGTTTCGCCGCCCTGCGGAAGGATTCGCAGAAAAGGGAGCCGGGACAGCGCAGGTTCAGCTGCGGCTCCTGGCCACTGTCTCCCGCCCTGTGGGGTCCCACGTAGCAGGGGCTGAGGGCGCGGCCTTCTGTTCCAGGGCCCTAAGGACCCCCGTCCTCCTCTGAACACGGCCCGCATTTTCCCCTGGGCCTGGGACTGCGGCGCGAGGCAGCCTGGCCGGGGGCTCTGCTCCCCCAGGGCGCCCGGGATCCCACACCCGACCCGGGAACTGGTCAGGTACAGGCGCCTGGCGAACTGCAGCTCGGGGGTGGCCAGGTCCCGGCCGTGGCGGCGGGTGGCCGGGTCCAGGTCTTGCCGCAGCTGGTAGCCCAGGATGGGCGCCAGGTCGTGCTGCAGCGGCGCCAGCTGCGGGTCAAACTCCGCGCCCGGCCCCGCGGCCTCGCCATGCGGGAGGCAGGTGCGCGCCCACCGCGCCCCAGCGCCGCCACCTCCGGCCGCAGCCCCGCGGCCCCCAGCGCGCCCACCCGCGCCCACAGAGTGAGGTTCAAGGTCGCACAGAGCGCCAGGTCCAGCGCGTTCTAGGCGCGCTCCCTGCGCTCCACGCGCGGCTCCAGCGGCTCCGGGCGAAGGCCGCGCCTGTGGGCGGGGAAGGCCACCAGGTCATCCAGACCCCAGCACAGCGCGGCGCAGCAGCCCCGGGGACTCGTCCGGGTGCTGGGCGATGGCACCAGGGGGAAGCGCGGGGCCACCGCTTGCACCCCCACAAGGCGGCGGCGCGTTGTGGTCGAAGCCCAGGTCCGAGGCCATGAGGTTGCGGCCACAGTGGCTGTCGGGCCGCCGGGGGTCGTAGAAGGTGCGGGTGTGGGCCAGGAAGTGTCGCAGGCTCCAGGCATGGACAAAGGGCGAGGCCGTCTTGTAGAAGGCGGACTCCAAGTCCCGGGCTGGGTCCCTCAGGATGGTGAAGGAGAAAGTGTCGCAGGTCAGGATGTGTCGCGTGTGGGCAGGGAAGGGCCTGTGTGCCCACGAGGGCGGCTGGTCTGGGGACGCTCCAATGGCTCCAAGGGCAGGAGTCGCCTTGAGCCCCACCCATGCAGAGGTTCCATCGCCCTGGGCCTCTGGAGCTCTGGCCTGTCCATCCAGAGGCCCCGGAGGAGGTGAGCCCCACCATTCTATCTGAACTCGGGGTCCCCCACGGACCACTTCCCAGAACCTTCAGGACAGGAATGGCCACCCCAGCGCTCTGCCTGCAGCCACCTCCCCTCCCTGCTCAGGGCACCAGGTTCTCCAGGAGAGAAGCCCAGGGCTCTCATTCTTGGAAGACGGAATGCTTTTCCACACCTGTGAGTTTTCCTGGGGTCCTGTGTGCAGGTGGCAT